TTGACACAGTAGCCTTGATTTATCAATCATTTGGAAGCAACAGGATTATCATTTGAGGCAATTCTAAAATTATATTTTGTAGACTGTGGGTTGATCCAGCTTTTTATCATCAAGGGCTTTAAACAATCATTTTTTCTCCAGGCTTTTCCAGGACCTATGAGCTCAGAAAACTCTGCAATAGCTCTGTGAACTAACGGGAGATTCAGGAATATGAAACCAGTAGACAGGAAGATCCCAGGCTGGCCAACCTGAATCACCAAAATAATTAGTGGAATTGGCCTATGATTTGTAGAATGCTTATGCAAGTATCCAAAATTTATAGTATCCAAAATTTATTTGCGCAATCAAGTTCTTTGCAATTCTATTTTCTGCTTTGCTACTTTCAAATACTTGTTGAAAACTTCAGACTTACAGGAACAATGCTGAATCAAAATGCCCCAGTTCTCATAATGAAAACAACATCCATTGGGGTTTGACTTCTAATTGCTGAATCAAAATGCCCCAGTTCTCATAATGAAAACAACATCCATTGGGGTTTGACTTCTAATTGCTGAATCAAAATGCCCCAGTTCTCATAATGAAAACAACATCCATTGGGGTTTGACTTCTAATTCTACGCACTTAAGAATGTGTTTCTCAACTTCTTCTCTTACAATATTTTATGACCCTTACTTAATGTTTCTTTGCCTCCATTTAATATTTCACTAGCTGCTAAGGGGTCAATACTGACTTGGTGGCACATAATCACTGTCAAATATGAGATATTAAATGGAAACATTAAGCATTAACCAATAATGTATTGTAAGAGAAGAAGTTGAGGAACACATTCTTAAGCATATAGAATTAGAAGTCAAACCCCAATGGATGTTGTTTTCATTATGAGAACTGGGGCATTTTGATTCAGCATTGTTCCTGTAAGTCTGTGAGGTTTTCCCATTTTAGCGTCATGGTAAACCTTATACAGTAAAAGTACCGTGTTTCACCCAACACTTAAAGAGACTGAGGTTCCCCATTCTTTTAAGAATCGCCTTTAATTAGATGAGAAACAAACTACATAAAATGGAGAAAGAAGTTTGAAAAAGGTGCACAGAAGATATCAATCACACTCAAGCAGACTCAATTTCCAAGTTACAAGCATTATTTCACCCTATTTCCCAGCCTCACCGTTTTCAAACACATAACTTTTCCTGGTATTGTTAAAAATACATGAGAATGTGCTGAGGGAACAAGAGGTAACCAAGTTCCTTTCTACTGGATTGGCTAGGCCCAAATGCCATATGACTTTTTCTCCTCAACAATTTTTTTCCTGTAGTAACCAAGGACTTGTTGAAAAATCCATTATAATGTCCCGAGCTCACAGAAGCCAGACCAGGATTTGGTTGATACTTTGCTGAATTCAGGGCTGTTCTTTTTAGGACTCCAGGGGAATGTTGGAAGCACAGCCGTTGGGAACTAAGGCTGCTGAAGCCAGCAAGGAGAGTTGTCTGAAGGATCTAATAAAATATAGTTCTATTTCATCCTTTGGTTGACTGGACCTACAATTATCCCCAAAGCCAAACCACTACATCAAGGAACCCAAAGCAAATAATAAAGCTGCTGAAATCATCCAATTATTTTCAAGGTATTAGCAGACCATCCGTTTAACAGATTATTTCCCACATATGGGGGTGGCTGAAAAGAGCAGCCCAGCTCGAATTTTTATGTGCTTTTAAAATTTTTAAGGCACCCTGAGGCAGGGTAAAATATTTCAAATATATCTATTTAGCCATAATTCTCAGAATTTCTCATCTCAAAAACAGGAGCGGGGGTCTGGGTATATGCAATTCTCAGACCCAAATCACCTAAAAACATGCATTTGAAAGGGAGCCACCGAATGACACCTATTACCTCCACCATTTGTGATCAGCGTGTTCCCTCTATGTTCCTGGTAATGACTCTCTCTTCTCAACCTCTGTTCTTTTGTGATCTCTGCTACTCGCAGGGGAAGGTCAGAAAACTCATCTGTAGGCTTCATTCAAAAGAAAGCCAGTGGTCAAATTCTTTTCTTTTGATTAAACTTTTGAGACAGAATCTTTACTACTCCAACACTTTCCTGGAAAAAGCTGAACCTTTAAGTCATTGGAGAGGTTTAAAATACACACAGACTAAGCAGTGCATACAGGATTGATTGAAGAATTCACATGAGCTTTTCCCCACTAGTAAAACTCAGTTCTAGAACTAGAGGTTTTATTTCTTAGCTCAGTTCAGTGAATTTCTTAGGACACATAAAACTGGATGTCAGAAAAGTGGCAGAAATCTACCTCCAGACTAGCGACAGTTAGGACCCACTTCAAAGAACATCACTCCTTTTGGTATGCTTGTACAGCAACTCAACCTGGACAGTATACTTTTGCTCCTATCAACAAATATCCTAACACACTGCTTCCAAATTCCCACCATTAGAGTAACAATTTCAGTTTGGCCAATTTAAGTTCTATTAGCAGGAAAAATTCTGAAAGGGAATTACTTCAATGAACGAGCCTTAGCCTCAAATTTCTTGTGATTTCAGAGACAGAAGCGACAAACTGGCCTTATGCAAAAGCAAAATAAGATGCTTCAAGACGACAGGGCTCTGAAATGTTGCTCCTCCACCTATTCCACCTTGTTCCTCCCCCTCTTTCCTATATACAATTATCTGTCAGACAAAAGCAAACCAAGCACACTTACTTCATTTCCTGACCACCTCTTATCTCCGCTGTCTACACTGTTGAAGCCAGAATCCAGTGCTCCATATGGTCGACTAGAATATAGATCTTCATGGCTATCAAAGAGAGAAGGAAAGAAGAAATTCTTTGGGAAACATCTGATATTAGGCAGGAACACAAAGGGCACGTTCAGCCCTTTCAGGGTGTTTTCTATGCTGAACATGATCCTACAAAGAGGACTCGTTCTTCCAAAAGTGGGGTTTCCCCCCCCCCTTTCGGTTGCACAACTATTGTTGCACTTCTATTACCTTGGTCTGCTAAGCATACAAGTATGGTTGAACTGTGCAAGGTATCAGCCAAGTGGTATTTTCCAGACAATGCCATCATTTCATTTCACATTTATTTTACCACATCAACTGTTCCCAACTTGGTACCCTCCTACAGGACTGAACTACCACTCCTAGTTCCCATTCAGCACAGCCTTGGTCTTACAAGCTCAAAAACCAGGTCTTGGTGGATACAAGGCTATGCAAAGCTGCATTATACCTTCTCCCTTTCATCTTGGCCTATCTAAAAGGATGTGTCTATTTAAAGAACTTGTATGGCCACCCAACCCAAACAGTGGGCATGTTCTTTAAGTCAAGGAACAGCAGGGCCTTTGGCATTAGAGGTCTCCAAAAGTCGTGAGTTCACAAGGGGGCTGGCTCCACAGTTGTTCCAAACTCACAGCAGAATCATTTCAAGGTGAGAACGACCTGTCTTAAACTCCAAGTGGTTTGATTTCCAAACATTTTGCATACACTTGGCACATTTGGAGGAATAAAACATTCAACAGCAACAGCTTTTAAAAAAGTCATGGCAAGCCTTTTTTACAGCACATAAGCTAATAAACTAAGTTGGGATATGGTGGAGTCCCTGGAGTTCTCTGAGCTTGGCTATTTTCTTGCAGACATTTCATTACCCGGCTAAGTAGCATCCTCGGTGCTAGAATGGAGTGGGGTTTGCTCTCTGTTTATATACAGTGGCATGCCCTGCCAGTGTTGGGGGTGTCAGTTTGGTTTTGTTTCCTTGTTTAGGGCATTGCTTACTGCTTGTATGTCTGGTGGTAATCCTGGAGTTAATCTCTGCTTATCTGGGTGGTGATTGCTGATGAGGAGATGTTCTGGTCTTTTGTTTTCCTTTTTATTGTCTCTTTTGAATAATGTGTACACTATTGTACTGTACTGAAACTGTCAGCATCTTAGACCAAGTTAAATCCAAAAATGCGAGGGAATTCCTGGAAGCTAGGTATTCAGACAAGGCAGCCACCAACAGGCACATAGAGATCAACAACATCTACACACATAAGCAGAGATTAACACCAAGATTACCACCAGACATACAAGCAGTAAACAATGCCCTAAACAAGGAACTACCAGAGGGAAAAAAAATAGAACAAAACCAAACCCACACCCCACACAAACATTGGCAGGGCATGCCACATTATATAAACAGAGAGCAAACCCCACTCCATTCAAGCACTGAAGATGTGACCCAGCCGGGTAATGAAACGTTTGCAAGAAAATAGCCAAGCTCAGAGAACTCCAGGACTCCACAGTTCAACCCTGAGCTACAGAGATTCTCTTCTGTTGGTAAGTTGGGATACATTTAAATTGTGTCTACCAATACAAACCTCTCAAGTGGACTTCAGAAAACTGGATCAGGTTTCCCAAGATATTAATAAAAAAATAGTAGACCAAATACAACCACTTTAGTATTATGCATCAATAATTCACAAAATACTGCAAACATATCTCAAGTGAGCTCCCAGCACGCTGGCTGTGTAGCTTCTATCCATGAAACTGACTACATCATTAGACACAGTCATGACATAGGGCGAGAAGGTGCTGAGTGAGAGGAAACAGACCAGCCTCTCTCCCTGCGTACGGTGACCAGACAGCTCAATACTACGACTTCAGAGATCTCTTATTTGGAAACTGCCTCAATCAGCACCAGTATAACAAAGGACACATCCGACCCACTGCCAGCGGACATTTAACAAAGCATCATCTGCCCCAGAGTCCCTGATGCCCTAGGGAAATCCGCAGTGGATCTGCAACAACAACAAGTAGCCAAGTTGGCTTCACGCAAGGCTTGCTAACCATTCCCTGGCTGGTTGTCCCTTGCTTTAAAAACCACTGGTGTGAGAAATAATATGTGCAATAATAGTTATTTCTACTGCGTCATGCCTCTGAAAATACTGCAATCTGAAGCAGAAGAGATCTCAGGAAGGGATTATGACCCAAAGTGCATTGCAAGGATTCATAGTGTGGGCCACATGCACTCCCAAGTAGCTGACACCAAATGTGTGAAAGAGGCCGGTTTCTCTTTGTTTGAATTTCCAAAGCTGCATAGCTCCATTCTAACTGTGCTGTTCTGGTGAGAACCACAACGCAGAATGTGTAGCGACTGTTAATTAGTGGCCTTCCTCAATCAAGTGCCACTGGTCATATGCTGCCTCGGCATTTGGAGAGTTGTACTCTGGGGGAGCAGGTACAGGTGTGACAAGCTAGATCCAGGAGCCCTCAACACTTCACTTCAGGAGGAGGTTATGCCCACAGCTTTGAAGGAAACCGTGATCCACCCTCCCCTTAAGAGGGCCTTTCTAGATCCTGCTGTGTCTGATAACCATCACCTAGTCTCCAATCTCCCCTTTTTAGGGAAGGCTATTGTGCACCTGTTGGGAAGGTTGCAAAGCACCTTGGAGGGAGCAGATTATCTGGACCCCTTTCAGTCCAGTTTCAAATCTAGGCATGGGACTGAGACACTGCTGGCTGCTCTAGTTCATGATCTTTATTGGGACCTGTATGGAGGCACCATCCCTCCTGGAACCTTTGGACCTCTCAGTGGCCTTCAGCAACATCAACCATAGTTGATGAACAGCTTGCAGGGGTTAGAGATCAGAGGCACTGTTTCACAGAGGTTCTGCTCCTTCGGGGACTCGGGGGAGGGATGTTCCTGTGTGGGCTGTCACAGGGATCACTCCTCTCCCCCTTGCTGTTTAACATTTCCATGAAGCTTCTCTGGAGTTTGGGGTGAGGCATTATCAGTATACTGTTGATGCTCAATTACACATTGCCACTGAGGGACTGGCTGAAGATGTCCTTGACTTGTCTCAATCCCTAGAGGCTGTAAGGGGACCAGGCAGTAGGGAAAAGGCTCAGGTTGAACCCCAGCAAGACAGAGTTACTGTTTGTATGTTTGGGCTAAAGTTATACTATTTTCAAGAGAGTCCTTTACACTTTACCACTCCTGGAAAATTGCCACTCCTGGCAATATCAGCACCATACTAGCCAGGTAATTCAAATGCACAGGAACAGTATTTCAAGCCTTAACATGCTGATTTGAACAAATGAGATCGATATCCTTGCATGCTTGAAGTGTGACAAACATCATCCATCAATTCGCAACTCACAGCAGTAACAGGCACAAAACAGCCACGATTAAAATCTTCAGAGCTACTTAGTGAGTTATCTGCTGCGTAGAGCACAGATCTCTAGCTATTGCAATGCGACCGCTTTCGAAGCAGCTCAGTTTGAATTTCTAAGAGCCCTACTCTGTGCGACCAGATGTGTAGCCAATTCTTTATTAAGATGAAAATTAGACATAACTTCATTAGAGGCCCAAATCTGATTCTGCCATCTGAGCCATTGGTTCAAACTAACCTTCTCTGAAAGGGCTTCAGTTGCCCTATGCCGTAACTTAGGGAGGGAGGAGTGTAGGAATAGAAGGCGAGGAGAGAAAGAGGTACGCGACCATCTCAAGGAACGATATGGCAGCAGTATGTCCTCTCTGATACAAAGAAATACAGACAGGCCCACACACAGGAGCAATGTGAGATTAAAAAATCCCAAGCTCCAGCAAACCTGCTGACCTCAGACTGAAATGTTCTCTTTTTCAGCCTCCCAGAAAAAAACTACAGGAATGTATTTACTTTGGTTGGGGTCTGACATAGTTCTCCAACTTCTCTTTCATGGACTTCAATACCCCAGCTTAAATCATCTGTCCCGCAGCAGGGCTTGGCAGGATCACTGCATCTGCACCGCTTCTCTTTTCTCGTCTCGCCTCATTACCTTGCATCACTTTGCAGTGCATCATATCAACACAAGCTGCCCTCCCAGCGCCCCTCATCTCAATTTAGCAACTCGTGATGTGACTGCTCAAGAGATGCATGTTACTGGGCCAAGCCAAAAGAGAGCCTGCCAAGAACAACACAGCTTGATGACAGGGGCAGAAGTCAGCATTTACACCTGTGATTAGACCAGAAAAATGATGCAATTCCACACAAAAGGTTAAGAACCCAGAGTAACACCGGCTAGCGATCCTGCCCCAAATAGCACAGATGCCTTAACAGAGAATTGGGGCTAAAAGTTCAACGCGAATTTAAAGCGTGTGGATGCTTACCATGATCCAAACCCCATTGGTCGCCTATCGTAATCTGGAAGGTCTGGCACCACTTTGCACGCTTCCATATTCAGATACTTAAATATGTGTACTTTTCCTTTTATACATATCTGAAAGGGGAAAAAAAGCAAAGCATTTTGAAAGCAATGCAGTGTATATTAAATCTAAACCTATTTTTATAAAGTGAGGCAAAGCAGATACCCCACCTCCTCCTCCCCCAGAGTGACTAAAAAATTACAGACCCACAGATTTAGGGGGAATCAGATATAAAACCACAACTGAAAATCTAAATCCTGGTTTTAACAATAAAGTTTGTACTCTTTCAGAAGATTACAGCACCACGCTCTGGCATGGGTCTTAAGGGAAGAAATCTGATCCAGTTTAATATATGACAGGAGGTGATTAAAGACATAGTCTTTAATGGAGGAAAGTTTTCTATATAAAAGGGCACGGTTCAATGCAATCCTAGTACTAAAGCCTGCTGCATGTACTGCGAGAGGTAAACTGTGAGCTAACAAAAGCAGAACAAAACTTTGAAAGGGATTAGAAGATCTTCTTCTTCTTCTGTACAAAGCATAGGATTTGCCTGGTGGGAGAGAGTACTTCCCTCCAGAAATTCAAAGTTTTAGGTCATCTCTATTCTATACAGTAATTATTGTGGACATACAATTTTAAGAGTGCAGCATTTATTCGCGGAGACATTATTCTGTTCCTTAATGTTACCGTAAACTGCCACAAACTGTGGAAAGCATTTTTAAATAAATTACAGTTACAGTTGCTCAGCTGGTTTCACCTGATCAGGTGGGCCCAAAATCAGGCAAAGGAGCAGAGACCCACCCTTGAACTGGACCATGTCTCCAGCCCCAGGAGAACATGGCTTCAGGACACCGAGTGGACCAGCCAAAGCGCTCTAGACAGCGGCTACTGATAAGGACCCCCGTCTTCCTTCTCTGACTATTGGAGGGTCCGTCTAACACCAACTTCAAGGCCAGAACTCTCTGCACCAGCAGCTCAGCGCTGCAAAGGAAAGGTGATTCCCTTCTTTTCTCTTCTCAATCCAGAAACGTTATCTCTAGTTTTGTGAAGTGGTACCTGTGCAAATGGTGATTCCTTTTAGCGTGTCTGCATGTATGTGTGTGTGAAAGAGAAAATGCTACATCTTGTACCTTCCTCTCCCTCCTTGCTATGGCAGGAAGCCTCCAAAATTCTGCATCTCTTGGTGGTGACTGCTTCTTCTCTTTCTGCCTCCTTCTCCAGCTTCATCTTTCTGTCACTGAACTGAATATGCTGAATTCTCCAGTTTGCCTCAATTTAGCTTCAAATACCCTTGGTGCTACATTCCCTGTAAATTGCCAACTGCTTTTTATCTGATTGCCCTGTATACTATTAATCTCACATGGGATTTAATAATTTGCTTTAACCGGTTATTAATTATAGTTTCATTTTTGGACTTCAAATGCAAAAGCCTCAAGCTGACTCTTTAGGCCCTGTTTCATGATAGTTGAGGGCTTCTGATTAAGTGGAGGGTAATCGCCTGCAGCTTGCAAGAGGAGTTTCAGGATCTACAGAATCGGGTTGGCACATACACAGTTGTTGGGGGTGGCTCCATGCCGCATAAGCATGCTACTGTATTCTATTTAAGCATAATTTCTGAATAGGGCCATTATAGAGTTGCACAGAGAGCATCAATTACCACAACTCATGGCAACAGCAAAACAACAGAATGTACAGCCATTTTTAGCCTCCCGGTTCTGAGATTTAAATAGTAGGATGAATTTCCATGGACCTTCTCCTGTCCAGAGCGAGTTCTATCTTAAGCAACTTGCCCACAAAGAACACATCTAATGCCACACTCTTAACAATAATGCAACAGTGCAAAAACACCAGAAAGTTTGCTTTAAGCCAGTGTTGTCCAAACTTGGCCACTTTAGCCATGCTGGCTGGGGAATTCTGGGAGTTGAAGTCCACTTGTCTTAAAGTGGCCAAGTTTGGACAACACCGCTTTAAGCTAAAAGCAAGGTTTTCTCCAATGAAATAATGTGATTGGTTTAGAGAAACCGCATTTTAGTCAAGATTTGTACAACACTTCATTATACATTACCTGGGCAGGGGGAGACTGCAAGGGGTTGTTATCTAAGGTGATTGTCTGTAAGTGTCTGAGGTTCCGGTAACAAACTGGGATTGTTGTGATTTTATTGCAGGAGAAATCTAACCGAATCAAAGGCAGCTCAGCAAGCTCTGCAGGTGTACACGCACATACACACAACAGACAACACAATAAAAAAATGTTATAGGTCAGCTAGTTATGGAAGAAATAAGTCATTCACATTTAAAAACAAGCACATTTTAACGAATATTCAGCAAAAGAGCAGTGACATACAACTTTCCTGTCTTTGTGTGTGTGTGTGTGTGTATTTTACCTTCAGGTAAATGTACCAAATGATTCCTCCTGATGTTGAGATCCCGCAAGGAACTCAGATTGCCAATCTGGGGTGGAATTGTTTGTATTTCATTGCAGCTGACATCCTGGAAAACAGAGGCGCAGTCAATTTAATAACGTTCACCTTTTTTCTCACGGTGGGCCTTCATGTGAAAAAAGCCCTTCAGAGGCTCAAAGATTTCTCCATAAATGGAAAGTCACAAGCTTTACATCCATCTCAACCCCCTTTGGATACAGTTCATGGGCACATATCCCAGTCTCCCCAATTCTACAATCTTTAACATTCCCATTTCCTGCTCTTTAACTGAGTCAGAGGCAGAAGATCTGCATGGCCCAGGATCTGGATATCTTTGCGATCAGCTTCTTCAAGTTGAACCTGCCAGCCCAGTGAGATCTAATACAGTGAACTTACTAGAAATTTGAGATAATGTCATATACTGGGACTCTGTTCCCAATCTCTTTCAGTGATGGCTCCCTGTCTCTGGAACAGTGTATCACCAAATATTTGGACCAACCCCTCCGTACTATATATTTGGCTCTTCAGAAAGATATTTGGGGACATTTGAAGATTCAGCTGCCTGAATTCAGATGTCTCCAAATATCTTTCTAAAGGGTCAGTAACATTCATAGCAAGGCCCTGATGTACACCATCCAGCTACCTGAATGGTGTACATCAGGAACTTGCTATTTATGTTACTGACCCTTTTTATTTTAAGTTTATGTTATAAGTCAACTCAGAGTCTATAAATCAAGGAAATAAAATAACTTAACATAAAATAACTTACATTAAGGTGTGTGTGCAATGGAACTGTCTAAATCTGGCTTTATTAGGAGAACAAACACAGCAGCAATACATTTCCATAAAGGACTCAATAAATACCAGAAAAATTGATTGTGGCATAGAAAACATACTGGGCGTATTCACACAACACAGTTCAGCTAGTTACTGAATTAAATATTTTCAGGGTTTGCATAATATAGCCCAGGGATTGCATAGATGGACGGAGATGGTGGATTACACCCCTAGTTTTTCTTGGTTGCCTTGTTTTGACTGTTTTTAATTTTATTATTGTTGTGAGCCACCCAGAGTTGTGTTTTCCAAGATGGGTGGCCATATAAATCTTTTAAATAAATAAATAATGAAAATTCACCTAACCAAATAGCCTGGGTTATACAACCTGCGATGCCTTCCCATGCTCCCCAAATTAACAATAAATACTTGTTATGTATTGCTGCCTTATTATGGTGGAGGCATGTTCCTGGGAGGGATGAGCGAAAAACTGTTTAGGTGAGAATATGCCAAGAGTATATATTCCCAGCAGGGTCACCCAAAGTGTGAAGGTCATCCCAGCTGCCCATCTGAAGCAAGCAGGCATCTATACTGGGCAGAAGCGATATAAGATGATCCTGGAAGGTATCTTTAATGACAGCAGCAAATGCACCATTTCATACTGTGCAGGAAAAGGCAATAGTAAATCACTCCCATATTTTACCAAGAAAACCACATGGATGGACAACATGACGTGATTAATGATATAGTGCTGGCTGATGAGCACTTCAGATTAGATGGCACTCAACATGCTACTGAGTCAGAGCTGAGGATCTTTTGGAGTACTAAAGATGTTTATGACGTGGCTGGATTAAAGCCTTTGAACGTCTAATTGCTGATGCTGCCATGCAGGAAAAGAAAATCCAAAGCTGTAAAGACAAAATTATACTGGGAACGTGGAATGTAAGGAGTGTCAACAAGAGAAAGCTTGACATAGTGAAAGGTGAAATGAACACATTGACTTCTTAGGCATCAGTGAACTGAGATGGACTAGGATTGGACATTTTCAGCCAGAGGATCATACTCTTTACTACTCAGGGCACGAGAAACAAATGACACTGCTTTCATAGCCAGGAAGGATGCAGCAAGGACATTTATTGGTACAATGCAGTCAATGACCAAATATTAGCAATCAGACTTTCTAGACAGCCTTTTAATATAATGATTATCCAACTCTAGGCTTCAATCACTGATGCAGAAAAAGAGGAAGTTGACAAGTTTCATGGTCAAGTCCAATCTGAAATCATAAGAACATAAGTGGTATCCTGCTGGATCAGACCCCTGGCCCATCAAGTCCAGCAATCTGTTCTCACAGGGCCAACCAACTGCATATGGAAGCTCACTAGTCTCTCAGCCAAATGACCTTCAGAGGCAGTCACACTGCTATCAAGACAATCAACAGAACATGCTAGCAAGATGTATTGCTTGTGGTTGGAGATTAGAATACCAAAGTTGGAAATATCAAGGAGTCAAATGGCTTAGGAAACAGAAATGAAGCAAGAGAATGACCTGTCAGTATTTGATGTCTAGTAATAGAAGTCAAAGTTAGATCAGCAGTCATTACTAACTTAAATGGTTTATCTACAGATGTATGCCAACAACAGAAATCAGCAAAGGTTCTCACCAAACTATGTTAACAAATCTGGAGAACAACACCATAGCCAACAGATTAGAAGAGGTTAGTCTACAAACCAATACCAAAGAAAGGAGACTTAACAGAGTGTGCAAACTATCACACAATGTTCTTAATTTCATATGCTAGCAAAATAACATTTAGGATCATCCAATGCAGATCACGGCACTGCATGGAAAGGGAAATGGCAGATGTTTTGACTGGTTTTAGAATAGGCCAAAGAACAAAAGACACTGTTGATGCACAATGGAGAACTGATAAACCCAAAAAATATCCCCCCCAAAAAGTTGGTATGTGCTTGATTGACTATAGAAAGATCTTTGATTGTGTGGTTGGTGGTGTGGTTTGTCCTTAGGAAAATAGAAATCTCAGAACTTCTAATTGTCCTCACGTAAAACCTATACATAGGATGGAAAGTCACAATTCAGATGGAACATGGCAAAACAGAATGGCTCCAGTTTAGCAAATGGGTGAGACAAGGCTGTATACCGTCTCCTAATTTATTCAAATGATATGCGCTGAATATACAGTGGGGCAAAAAAGTATTTAGTCAGCCACCAATTGTGCAAGTTCTCCCACTTAAAAAGATGAGAGAGGCCTGTAATTTTCATCATAGGTATACCTCAACTATGAGAGACAAAATGGGGGGAAAAATCCAGAAAATCACATTGTCTGATTTTTAAAGAATTTATTTGCAAATCATGGTGGAAAATAAGTATTTGGTCAATATCAAAAGTTCATCTCAATACTTTGTTATATATCCTTTGTTGGCAATGACAGAGGTCAAACGTTTTCTGTAAGTCTTCACAAGGTTTTCACACACTGTTGCTGGTATTTTGGCCCATTCCTGAGTCTGGGGCAGAAATGTAAGTGTCATGTTTTGGGGCTGTCGCTGGGCAATACAGATTTTCAACTCCCTCCAAAGGTTTTCATGGGGTTGAGATCTGGAGACTGGCTAGGCCACTCCAGGACCTTGAAATGTTTCTTCCGAAGCCACTCCTTCGTTGCCCGGGCGGTGT